GCTGGTATTAAAACCTGTTTTTATACTTTCATAGTGTTTTAACCCCTTTTAGGGGTTAGTTAATTGCGGGGACCCTGACAGGTGCTACCACACCAAATCAGGGTAGACTTGGTAACACAAGTAATTAAGAGGGGATCCCATGCTCCCCTCAAATGACGATAAACTACATCCGCGTCCTGGGTATGACGACAAACTACATCCGCGTCCTGGGTAAGACGATAAACTGCGTCCAACAGCAAGACCTCTGATAACACGTTTTTGAAAAAATAATGTTGCCAGCTATAGGTGTTTTTTTTTTGTTTTTTTTCAAGAATAGTGTTGCCGGCTATACGTTTTTGAAAAATAATATATAACCAGCTATACGTTTTTTTTTTTTTTTTAAATAATATTACCAGCTATACGTTTTTGAAAAAATAATATTATCAGCTATACGTTTTTGAAAAAGTAATATTACTAGCTATATGTCTTTGAAAAAGTAATATTACCAGCTATACGTTCTTGAAAAAGTAATATTACAAGCTATACGTTTTTGAAAAAATAATATTACTAGCTATACGTTTTTGAAAAAATAATAGTACTAGCTATACGTTTTTGAAAACGTAATATTACTGGCTATACGTTTTCGAGGAAAAAATATTAACAGTCGGCATTAAATGACCCATTGAGGTTGATATGCCGTAAAACAAACCAAACCAAAGCAACCATGCTCCTCAAAACCTCCTGGTAAAGGCCTTGCTGTCGTTATTACCCCGTTTAAATCCGATATCATATGGCTGCCATTGAGAATCAAGTAGCTCTTTAGTAACATCCTCAATCTAGCAAGCACTTTTAAGGAGAGCCAAATTCAGAGAACCAAAAATGTCCCAAAACACGGCTTTTCACAGCAAATGAAGGAAAAGGAATCCGTGGAGAGCCACGAACGTCTACATTCTGAAGGCCAGCGTATTTTAAAGAAAAGATGCCAACACAAGTAGACAATTCCTCTCAATAAACTGGATGGGCCGGCACCGTAACGGTAATCGACGCCAAAATTAGAATCGTCGACCCGAATTCAAATTTGAGCCCTGATTCTTGAGTTTGCATTCACATTGATGCCATTTGGAAAAACATGAACCCATTTCTGTTTTCCCCCCTCTCTGATGGTTAAATAGTAATTTAGACTTGGTTGGTTTGGTTGGTTTTGTTTTACGCCATATCGAAATCAATGGGTTATTTGATGCCGACAAGATTTTTATTGGTGGTAATATTTTTCCTTAAAAAATGTATTATTTGTAATAATTTTTCCTGAAAAAATTACTGCTAGCATTAAAACATAATTTTTACACTTTCCTAGTGTTTTAACCTCAGTTTGTTGGTTAAATATTTGTCCATAGTTGTGACCCTAATAGGTGCCACCACCCCGAGTCAGTGTAGACCTGGGAGCACCAGCAATTAAGAGATGGTTCCATGCCCCCGAAAAACCTCTTTATCAGAAGTCTTGCTGTTGGATGTAGTTTATCGTCTTACCCAGGACGAATTTAGACTTTGGGTATTTTAGCTATGAGAAGCATCCAGTCTAGAAGAACTACTGGGAAATCGAAAAAGTGGAGAAGACAGCGGGAAACCACTCCACTATCTTTCCCAAGAATGCATTGCTATTCACAGATAATAAATAATAGGAATTAACAGAGAGTTATGTCTGCCTCATTCCTGAAGAGACATTAAGAAAAAATTCTTCATTTGCTTTTCTTTTTGTATTGTGATGCTCAAAAGGCATTTAAAAAGAAAATTCGAAAAGGTAAGAAATGGCAAATATTTACAAAGAATAAGATAAAGCATAACTGTCAAGTGTAAACTGATTGGCAAAAACCCCTGGGATGGGATGTGTCAAATCTAATAATGCAATGTACGAACTTTGGTGGGTCAAGCCAACTTTCGACAATCTCGACCCAAAATCTCACGGTAAGGTTTTTGATCGTGCATGCGCTGCGAAGTTCCCTCTTGTTTTTAAATATATATAATAAGTATAGATATGTTTGCTTATCGTCCGGTTCACCCTCCTCTATTTTTTTAACATGAGTTAGAAGTTCATCCTTTGTTTCCTGTTTATGATAGAGTTTCCAGTTCCTCCTGTTTTATTTCTGCCGGCCTCTTGCGTCTTGCATTACCACCTCGTTTGGAGTGGTGCTTCTTACTCTGAAACCTTCTAGATCGTGGCTCTTGTGCCTTGTACAGGGTAAGCATCAGTGTAAAACTATACGTATTTACATCTAGTACAGTTCAAAAGCAAAGAAAAGAATATATTAATGCAGAAAGAATGTGGTGATCTTCCAAGTGAGACGAAAATGTCTGACTTGACAATCAGCATACAAAATATTATTATTTATCTACGGTCAAAGTATAATGGTTAGGATCATACATTGATGTCTTAGCCATTTACTTTAGGGATATAATCCTTGCATTTAAAAAGAAAAAGAAAAAGAAAAAAAGAAGAAATGGGGTGTGTGAAATCTAATCATACAATGATACCTTTGATTGTTTTCGCTAAGTTTATTATTATTATTATTATTATTATTATTATTATTATTATTATTATTATTATTATTATTTCCTTTGATTTCTGATGTGTACACATTTCTTTCCGGGTCCCGCCCAGAGACCTAAGGTTAGAAATGGCATCATGACATTTTCCACTGACCAAGAATAAAAAAAAAACAAAACCCAAAAAACATATTTTACATAGATAAAGCCCTTTGTAAGGTGAGGACTGTACTCGTGAGGACATTTTTTTTTATTTCTTTAAGGCATGGACTTCCAGGAATCCCTTCAATGAGTCTACTGGAATCTTTTCCAATTAATCCGCGGGCTCCAACTACAACAGGGATTGTTAATGTTCTCATGTGCTACATTTTTGAGATTTCGATTTAAAGGTCCTTGTATTTTGATAGCTTCCGATTTGAAGGTCCTTAATTATTATTATTATTATTATTATTATTATTATTATTATTTCCTTTGATTTCTGTTGTATACAAATTTCATTCCGGGTCCCAACCAGAGATCTAAGGTCAGAACTGGGTTTATAACTTTTACTATTGACTGATCATTTTCGGAAAAAAAAAAACAACGTAAAATATTATTTTTATTATTATTATTATTATTATTTGATTTCTGATGTGTACTCATTTCTTTCCGGATCCCGCCGAGAGACCTAAGGTTAGAAATGGCATCATGACATTTTCCACTGGCCAAAAAGAAAAAAAAAATCAATTTTACATAGATAAGCCCTTCGTAAGTTGTGGGATGTACTTGTGAGAATTTTCTTTTGTATTTCTTTAAGGCGTAGACTTCCAGGAATCCCTTCAATTAGTCTACTGGAGTGTTTTCCAACCAATCTGAGGGCTCCAACTACAACAGGACATGTGCAACATTTTTGAGATTTCGATAGGAAAAAAAAAGTTATTCTACAAAAGACCAGACAATACGACATCTACATCAATGTTGTACTTCTTTAGCTTCAAGCTGTTTTTCTTTCTGGTGCTGAGTTGTTTTCCTGAAGATTTCGTACATTCAACGAGCCAAGATGAAGATGATGTTTTTTTGCAGTATTATGTGTGGAACTAATTAGATGTAGTCAGAAAACCAACACAATGATTTTTTTCAATATATATATATATATATATATATATATATATTAATGATATTTTTATTAAAAATATTTTACATTGCGACACAGACATTTCTATGTTTTGAGACTTAAAATTTTTATCTCGTCATCAGGCAATGTTCGGTAACTTTGGTGAAAACGATTTATATTTGAACACAGGAAACAATATTTCTGCTTATTTAAGTGTTAAGATAGACGGAGATCTACATTTTAAAATCTCATGGTTATTTCTCATTTAATTAATCAAAAGAAAGTTCAAAGCTAATTAAGAAAAGTTAAAAAATAAAGGTAGGAGTTGGGGGTGTGATATTCATACATATCTTGGGGATCGTATGACGCCTCGACAACATACTTCCGGTTTAGTGTATACATTTAAGCTAGAAAAAAAAAATATATATATATATATATATATATATATATATATATATATATATATATATATATATATATATATATATAACAATAGGTTAATTTTTGTTTTTATTTCATATGCATTAGATCTATCTTAAAGGTGTCTCTGGTATGATTAAATCATATAATAATTGTGGATTATAAATTTGTTTGTTCGTTCTCTTCATTTGAATATATATATATATATATATATAGATATTGATAATATTAGTGTTTAATATGTACAACACACACACACACACACACACACACACACATATATATATATATATATATATATATATATAAAATATATATATATATATACATAGAGGATAGAATCGAGGTAGAACTCAAAGTCCAGGACAGAGTAAGAATATAATAAAAAGCTTAAACACTAATATTCCATGGTTATAATTTATTACATTGGAATCGTAATTACGATCCAATTCATCAGACCTACAAATTCAAAAAGAAATTAGAAGAAATAACTCCGGGAATGAAAAGTAAAATTTAGTGAGAGTGTATTTATGAGTGTTGGGGACGAATGTGAGGGCTAAATGAAAGCTCTAGAGAGGGGTAACAGACGAGAGAAGAACAGGAAGGCCTAAAAGTGTAGGGGGGGATTAAAATTTTACAGAGATACGTTTTAAAGAGAACAGCTAAATGACAGTTTAAATGAGAGAGATACAGATAAATATGAATTATTTTCCGATGCATAATTCATTACTGAATCTCTGACCTAAATTAAATTAAAAATCGACAACGGAATTTTTTATGTAGTGGATGTTTACTATTAAATGTAGTGGATGCATATATATATATATATATATATATATATATATATATATATATATATATATATATATATATAGTGTGTGTGTGTGTGTGAATATAAACTAAATAACGAGATATTAGCAACTGTATAAAATATATATATATATATATATATATACATAATTTTGTGTTAAAAAAGAAAGATTGAAAGAAAGAAAGAAAAGAAAGAAAGAAAGATTGATAGAAAAAAGAAAGAAAGAAAGATTGAAAGAAAAAAGAAAGAACGAAAGAAAAAAAGAAAGAAAGAAAGAAAGAAAGAAAGAATGGAAGCGGGAAATAAAAAGTAAGTAAAACTGTGAAGGAAGAAAATTAAACTGAAAAAAGTATGAAAAAATATATAGAATGAAAGAACATTTAAGTGAAAAATTAAAGAAAGAAGGGAATGAAAGAAACAGGCTAAAAGAGACATAAAAGAAAGAAAAAAGAAAGAAAGAAAGAAAAAGAAAAAGAAAGTAAAAAGAAAAGAAGAAATGAATGAATAAATAAATAAATAAAAGAAGGAAAGAAAGAAAGTAAAAAGAAAAGAATAAATAAATAAAGGAATCAAGTAAGAAAAGAAAGCAAAAGAAAGAAAAAAAGGAAGAAATAATAATACACGAAAAAAATGAAAAATAAAATAAAATGTATTGAGAAAGAAGGAAGAGGAAAGCAGAAAATAGAAAGAAAAGAAATAAGCAAACAAAAAACAGAAAACGAAAGAAAAACTATAAAAATGAAATTTAGAATTGGGAAAAGAATAAAAAACAATTCGATGAAAAATAAAAAAAAAGAAGAGAAGGAAAGAAACAGATTGAAAGAAAGGAAGAAAGAAAGGAAATAAAGAAAGAAAAAAAAGAAAAAGAAAAGAAGAAATAAAGAAAGAAAGAAAGAAGGAAAAGAAAGAAAAAAGAAATGAATAAATAAATAAAGGAAGGAAGCAAGGAAGAAAATAAAGCAAAAAAGAAAAGAAAGGAAAATAAAGAAAGAAAAAAAGAAATGAATAAAGAAAAACAGAAAGAACAACGAGAGAAAGAATGCGAGAAAGAAAAAGAAAGAAAAGATGAAACAAAGAAAACATGCAAGAAAGAAAAAGAAAGAAAGAAGGAAGAAAGAAAAAAGAATAAATAAATAAATAAAGCAAGAAAGAAAAAAAGAAACGAAAAGAAAAGAAAGAAAAAAGAAAGAAAAAAAGAAGAAATCAATAAATAAATAAATAAAGAAAGCAAGAAAGAAAGGGAAGAATGAAAGAAAGAAAAAAGGAAAGAAAGAATACAAAAAGAAAAAGAAAGAAAGAAAGAAAGAAAGAAAGAAAGAAAATGGTGAAGTCAAGCGAAACTGTCCGTGGAAAATGATATACGAAAAAATTAATGAAAAATGAAAAACAAGGACAGGAAAAAGATAATTTTAAAAAGAAAGAATAGAAGAGGAAAGAAGAAAATAGAAAAGAAAAGAAAAGAAAGAAAGTAACAAACAAACAAACAAACAAACAAACAAAACGAAAGAAAAACTGTAAAAAAAAATTAAAATTACGAAAAGAATAAAAAAAACAATTCAATTAAAAATAAAAAAATGAAGAGAAGGAAAGAAACAGATTGAAAGAAAGGAAGAAAGAAAAGAAAGAAAAGAAAGAAAGAAAGAAGCCTGAAGTCAAAGGTATAATTAGACCAAAACACGGCAAAAATTGAAGAAATAAAAGAACCCCCCACCACCAAAAAAAATATATCTATGACAAAAGAGAAAAAGAAAAAGAAATCACGACCTCTAATGCATAAATAAACAAACGTTCAGCTAATAAACGGGCAAAGGTGTAAGCCGATTCTTGATCTAATTATCTCCCCTTCCTTCGCTCTGCTATTTTTTTTTTCTCCCGCCTTTTGGCTCGGGCGCAAATTTCAAACCGATGCGAGCGGAAAACCTTCCTCGCCCAGAACAACAATAGCGTTGACGAAGAACAACAATTCATTGCGTTGGCCGATTTAGTTGGCACAATTTACGCAAGGAAGAAATCGGCCATGAACGCCGTGAATTGCTTCCAGGATCAAAACAAAATAAAGAAATGTATATCACACATTGTTTCCCACGCAGAAATAACACCCGGAGAGATTAAAGGTTGATTACGCACGGGTGCCTTCTAGGCATGTAGGTATATACTGTATGTATGTATTTACATACAAAGTCTACATTAGTCTGACAAAAGACTAACACGGTGGGACTGTTCGAATATATCTATCTATATATCTCATTCTGTTACGATCTATCTATCTATCTTATTCATTCTATTGCTATCTATCTCATTTTGTTACTATCTAACTCATTCTGGTAATATCTATCTCATTCTCTTACTATCTATCTATCTATCTATCTATCTCATTCTGCTACTATCTATCTATCTATCTATCTCATTCTGCTACTATCTATCTATCGCTGTTACTATCTATCTATCTATCTATCTATTTATCTATCTATCTATCATGATTAAAAATAGTTTCAAGCGAATCAACTATATAGCTTGTACGCAAAACCACTCTAATTTGAACCTCATGGACTGGCGCTACAGGATCACAGACAAAGAACTCTACCAAACAACAGAATCTACATCACTTCAGGCAACTGAAAAAGAAAATATCGACATAATTAAGATCTAGACGTCCCACGCTACTTCAAACAAAAAGTTAGAAAGGAAACCCTCATTAATTCAGGAAAGAGCGATAACAGTTACTGGACATGAGGAACCTATATTCCAGAAAATGTGTTTTAATAGAAAGATTTTAAAAATTTCAACCAACGGTAAGACTAGCTGCTCCCTCAATAAAGGTCGAAATAAATCATTTGCCTGTGCTGGGATCCTTAGCATCATCTCAGTTGCGTCTCTATCTTCGGACAGAGAGCGGGTCAAATGCGTCTCTATCTTCGGACAGAGAGCGGGTCAAATGCGTCTCTATCCGCGGACAGAGAGCGGCTCAGATGCGTCTATATCTTCGGACAGAGAGCGGCTCAGTTGCGTCTCTGTCCGCGGACAGAGACGCTACTGAGGAAAATAAATATTGTAAGGTGCCGGGTCTCGGGAAAAGCTGTCCGAGGCTATACCTCCATTGCACTTAAGAAGGTGGGTCGGTGGTCATACCGATGCCAGCTCAACTGATGGATGCGTGGGCTTGGCAGTTTTTACCATTGGCACGTGTGTACGCCCTCGGGATCCCCACATTAAGCTCGACCTTGTGTGATATCCCGTCTTTGCCGGGAGTCAAGCGTAAATAATATTAGACGCATATGGTCTGTGGATCTCTGTTTGCTCATGACTGACTGAAATCTTTAGGAAGAAGCCATCATTCTTAATAGGGATTGGTTTTTTCATTTTCGTTTGGACGGGGCTAAAAAGGCAACTACCTAAACAAGTTGTGATTCCAAACAAAATAAATCTATTATATTGGTTGTTCAATGGACATGACCTCATGGGGACATTGATAATCTTTTCTTTTCTTTTTTTTTTAATCTCAAACTCAGGCTATCAATAATCAAGAATTGATCTTTGCCCGATCTTTTGCTCTTTAGTGTTGAGAAAGAGTTCAAGGCTGTACGGACATGGAATACGTGTCTCCTTTTTTCGGACACGTATCAGTTGACGGAAATCTGACGTGTTCCGTCATCGTTTTCGAAAGAGGACGACCTATTCTTCCACTATCTCCCTGACGTCCGAACTGATCTTTGCCTCATCGGTTCAACTGAAACCGATTTCATCTCCGTTTCGTGTCTATTTCGTTTCTATTTTCGTGTCTGAGGCGTTCTATCCATTGGCGTGTGACAGTCACTCCGGTGGATGTCTCGTTATGCAGTCGTTTCAAGCGAAACAAAGATTGTTTTCTGCGTTTTTTTCTTATTTATTTATTTATTTATTATTCACTCTACATATTGGTTAGTGGACATTTTATAAGTTTTACCCTTTTATTATTATTATTATTATTATTATTATTATTATTATTATTATATCGTCAGATGATATGTTGGGAATATGCAAAAAAAAATAAAAAATAAAATAAATATATGAAAAAAATAATTCTCTCTCAAATGTGTGGATTCATTTTCGCAGATATGCAGGAAATCAAGGAAAAAAGCTTTTTAGTCCTTCAGAATCGAAGTTACGGTGAACATATGGAAAGAAGCTGAAGATGTTGAAAACTTGCAAAGTCTGGATGCAATAGGTATAATTTGAGAACAACTATTAGCAATGTAGAAAGTATAATTTAAATAGTATATATATATATATATATATATATATATAGATAGATAGATAGATAGAAAGATAGATAGATAGATAGATAGATAGATAGATTGGAAAATATTAAAATAGATAGATAGATAGATAATGGACAAACATAGATAGATAGATAGATAGATAGATAGATAGATAGATAGATAGATAGATAGATAGATTGGAAAATATTAAAATAGATAGATAGATAGATAATGGACAAACATAGATAGATAGATAGATAGATAGATAGATAGATAGATAGATTGGAAAATATTAAAATAGATAGATAGATAGATAGATAGATAATGGACAAACAGAGATAGATAGATAGATAGATAGATAGATAGATTGGAAAATATTAAAATAGATAGATAGATAGATAATGGACAAACATAGATAGATAGATAGATAGATAGATAGATTGGAAAATATTAAAATAGATAGATAGATAGATAATGGACAAACAGAGATAGATAGATAGATAGATAGATAGATAGATAGATAGATAGATAGATAGATTGGAAAATATTAAAATAGATAGATAGATAGATAATGGACAAACATAGATAGATAGATAGATAGATAGATAGATAGATAGATAGATAGATTGGAAAATATTAAAATAGATAGATAGATAGATAATGGACAAACATAGATAGATAGATAGATAGATAGATAGATAGATAGATAGATAGATAGATAGATTGGAAAATATTAAAATAGATAGATAGATAGATAGATAGATAATGGACAAACAGAGATAGATAGATAGATAGATAGATAGATAGATAGATTGGAAAATATTAAAATAGATAGATAGATAGATAGATAATGGACAAACATAGATAGATAGATAGATAGATAGATAGATAGATAGATTGGAAAATATTAAAATAGAT